GCAGTCTATAATGTGGACTCTTGCCTAGTTATTATAATCGATTCTTTATATGTTCTTTGTACAAACAGTCATTAAGCTGCTTGAGCGACCCCAGTTCGATTCCAACTCACGCCCACCACCGCTGACGATTATTTGAAACGGACCTGGCCCTCCCCTAGGTCCACTCAGCCTCAAAAGCGTAACTGCTGTCGTGTGTGAACATCGTCACTGGGGAGACAAAGGCGGCGGGGCATCGTGGATCCAAGTCCCGGGCGAAGCCGGGTCATGTGTATGTGTGTTTGTGTTTATGTGTATGTCTGTGTGTCTCTATGTATGTGTGTATGTATGTGTATGTATGTGTTTGTGTGTATGTGTGTGTATGTATGTGGGTTTTTTTAATGTCTTTATGTGTATGTCTGCGTGTCTCTATGTATGTGTGTATGTACGTATGTGTTTGTGTGTATGTATGTGTGTGTGTATGTATGTGTGTGTCTATGTATGTGTGTGTATGTGTGTGTATGTATGTGTGTTATGTGTCTGTCTGTGTCTGCATGTATGTGTGTGTGTATTGTGTATGTGTTTGTGTGCATGTATGTGTGTGTTTGTGTGTATGTGTATGTCTGTGTGTATGTGTTTGTGTGTATGTGTGTGTGGGGAGCGGTAGTGTAGTGGTTAGCGCGCTGCGCTATGAACCTGGCGACCCGGGTTCGATTCCCGCTCACGGCAAACACCAGTGACGATTATCTGAAACGGTCCTGGGCCTCCCCTAGGTCGACTCAGCCTTAAATGAGTACCTGGTGCGGTGTGTAAACATCGCCACTAGGGAGACAAAGGCGGTCGGGCGTGGTGCTGGCCACCCACCCCCTCGTGTACCGTTCCGGCCTTCATAGGTGCTCGCTAACAGCACTTGCCCCTACAGTCTGTTCAGGCTATACGGGGGATCTTTGTGTGTATGTGTGTGTATGTATGTGTGTGTATGTGTTTGTATGTGTTTGTGTGTTTACGCTCGCATTACACAAATGTGTTGCTGGTCTAAGGCGTTCCTCGCACAGCATTGCTGCTTTATTATTTCAGTCGTTTACTGCCTTACGCACCCTGAAAGTCGTGTGTGTCTGCAGCAAGCGCGTGTATGTGTACCTATGGACGCGCGCGCGTGTGTTGTGTAGGGGGAACGGTAGTGTAGTGCTTAGCGTGCTGTCTGTGTCTGTGTGTGTGTGTGTCTGTCTGTGTCTGTCTGTGTGTGTCTGCGTGTGTCTGTGTGTGTGTCTGTGCGTGTGTGGTGTGTGAGGAGCGGTGGGTGTAGTGCTTAACGCTACGCTGCGCTACCAACCCGGCGAACCCAGTTCCATTCCCGCTCACGGCCACCACCGGTGACGATTATTTGAACCTCCCCTAGGTCCACTCAGCCTCAAACGAGTAACTGGTGTGGCGTATTAACATCGGCACTTGGGAGACAAAGGCGGCCGTGCGTGAGTGGTGAGGGAGGGAGAGTCGTGAGGGAGGGAGAGTGCTGAGGGAGGGAGAGTGGTAAGGGAGGGAGAGTGGTGAGGGAGGGACTCAGCCGCAAAACGAGTAACTGGTGTGGCGTATTAACATCGCCACTGGGGAGACAAAGGCGGCCGGGCGTGGTGGATACAAGTCCCGGGCGAAGCCGGGTAGTACAGCTAGTACGTATGTAAAATGGTAAAGCTTATAATTTGTTTAGCACTGTTTTCTGTCATGAAGCGATATAATTAGGATACCCTGCAAAAGCAATTGATCAGCAACTACAGTAGAACTCATGCCACATACAGTAATCGATTGCAGTAGATCAACATAGCCTTCATGCTTGGAAATCCTCAGCTACCAATGCACTGTATGGATCTCGAAACTGCTGCTAAAACACACACTTCATGGAATCTATGTTGTGCTTGTTCCCTGCCTGTTAAGTGGCAGGATTACGTTTCTTTTGTGTGAACACATTTAAAATACTGTTAGTGCCAGGGTCCCATCGTCCTGACAAAATAACAGAATCATTCAAGAATTAACCTTCGAAACCAGGCTTATTCGAGTCAGGTTTAGTTAGGGGACAAACAAAAATGCACAGAGGGGGATTGGCACAAAATCATTCGCCCAGTGGCTGAATGCATGAAAACAAGAGGAGACATTTCGCCGTTACTGCTGTAAATGTCAAACTCAATGAGCATTCCACTGAACAAAGGTGTTTAATACAATGGTAACACAATATCGTCCTTAACAACAGATCAAAGAAGATGATGATGATGGTGATGACGATGATGTTTAATAATAGCGTATGGCCATTTGTCAATCTACTGCTGGATGACGGCCTCCCCTGGCTGTGTGGTCATCAAGATTGTTGGCCCATACTTCCCCACGTATCATCAGCGCTTGGAGGGCGAGGGCCCAGGACTGCTTCAGACATCACCTGCCACTGATGTTAACCACGCCTAACAATCACAGCACTGGGGGACATCATGCGGAGGCTGCTGATAATGACAACATGGTAGATGGTGCCAAACCAAACCTGTATCACTCGGGCAACCAATCAATCTACGATGTACAACTCGTCACATTCAGCAAAAAAGTTGAGCCGGATGTCCAGAGATATTCTAGCGGTGTACTTGTTCCACAACAAAGAGGGTTCGGGATATACGAGTGAGCGGCATAATGCACTGGAGGTAAAATTCATGTCGAGTAGCCTAAATCCGAATGCGTGCTCCGGAATGATAGGGGGTGGGATTCTACAGAATTAGGCACCCTCGAAATTTATACCTTTTGGCCAAGGAGATTGTTGTTGGCACGCGCTGAATTAAGAAGGTGAAATAAATTACAAAAGTGTTTTCGGTGTGTGTCGTTTGAGGCTCAGTGCCCATACAACGCATAAATCGCATTCACATAAAGAACCCAAGGATGTAATCCTTCTCAAGTCACCCTAATTTTATGGCGCTCGTAAAATTGCCAAGGAAATACTACGAATAAAAATGCTCCCCAACGCCGTACAAAGGAGTACCTTTATTGAGGCTAAAATGAGCGTTACGGTTTTCTCAGGCTTAAAAATGGGAGCATTGTTGATTGCTTTAACGCGTAGGCTTTAGCGACCAATATCATCCATAATACAGCCAATATGTTAACGCATGCACGCATACATACAGACCAACATAATAATGCAATGAACAATATTCAAAATACAGGTTTTTTTGGGTTAGATCGTGTAAATATATAATTGTGTCGTTAAACCCCCACCACCCGACACAGCCAATTGGTAAGGTTTGTCACATGAACAGAACGTGCCAATTGGTTACTAGTACAGCACCACTGGTTGTGTGTTGGAGAGCAAAGCCACTGGTGTACTGCACTAGTGACGAATTGGCACGTGTTGTTTACGTGACAAACCATACTAGTTGGCTGTGTCGGGTGGTGGCGGGTTTAACTTGAACTTGAACGACACATTTATATATTTACGTGTGCTAACCCAAACCACCTGTGTTATGGATTGTTGATTGCGTTTCAATATAGGGCTCTGCTTTCAAACTCACGCCCTAAATGAATTGGAAACTTTTAACTGGAGTCGTGGGGAGGTGCAAAACCCGGTGCAGAATAAAAAGAAAGAAATCAATGGCACCTTTAATGTTTTGGGGAAAAAAGTCACACAGGAAGACATGAATAGAACTCGTGAACCTTAAAGCAATGCATTATGGGTAAAATGTGTTTGATCAGTACTTGTGAAATGCATGGCAGGTTGTGTTGGAACATTCAATTGCTCATCCAATAACATTTTTGTTTAACTGCACGTAGCCATTTTAAAATTCGACCTGTAGTTTGTGGGCAGCGGTGGTGCAGCGGTCAGCACTATAAACCCACCAACATGGGTTCCATTCCCGATCATGGCGAACATGCACGGAGATTGATATCTGAACCTTTATTGTGTCCTCTCTTCACCGATCCTCACCCCCCACTTCCTAGCACGATGAAGTACAGTCCAACAGACTCCCACAACTGACATGGTGTTGGGATGCCTTCATCAAGCAGTGGATTGATAAAGCGATACAAATGATGATTATAAAAACAAAATAAATACAGTACCGCACCTCTGATTAGCAGTTGTCTACATACGGTGAAAAATAAGTTCAACATACATACGTGTAAATAAAGTACAGTAAGATTCATCTTCTTGGTTCTTTCAGTAAAGTCACGTAGAATGGAGCGTCTTATCGACAGACCTGTTCGACAGACCTGTTCTTCACCTGAGGACGGCTGCTTTCGTTGTGGCCGAAACGTCGTGAGAATTATTTATTATGTTTTATTTTTATTATGTTTTATTCTTTTTTTATTTCCATTCCACGTGACTTTACCGAAAGAACCAAGAAGATGAATCCCCGCAGTCACGAAAGCTTTAAATCGAAAAAATACGGTAAGATTCTCACGAATGAATGCTGTAACAGAAGCCTCCTATGATGAAGAATAACTGTGGCCAACATTGTTACAACGGGCCCGATTGCCCTGAAGATGTGAGGGTTACCCACAATTTCCCCCAACGCAAGCAGCTGTGAGAAGAAGCAGACACAGTCGGACAAGCGAACCCAACACGAACGTCTCCCTTCACCTGGTTATCATCCACGCTACCATGGGGAAAGAGTGAGAGGCACGCAAATATACAGCAGCAGGCGTCGGGGTCGGGATCGAACCAACGGATCTCCTGCGTAGCGATCGTGGTAGTCAACATCTCCTAGCCACCGCGGCGTATTGCGAGTGACAACACGCTTTAAGATGTTCTGTGTTCATATTTTGTTTGTTGCGGTTACACCCGACTTAAGAGCCGCATGGCTCACAGGGCTATACCTAATAAATGAAACTTGAAACTTGAAAACATCAAACCAGAACGCTCTGGCGCTGCCAACGCAGCTCGCGACCTCAACACTCCGGCCAGCGTGGCGTACGCACGCGCGCCACGTGCTGCGTGAAAGTGAATGCGCACGTGTGAGCACAAACGTGTGAGCGATGCCCCAATGTTCTCTCCGTACCTTCATCAGGTGCTTGTTCACCCATTTCGTGAAGGTTTTCTTCTGAACACGATCACGCTCATCTGCGATGAGAAGGAGAAGAAGAAGAGGCAATATTGGGTCATTACATTCCTCTTGTGGATTCCGAACGGGGGTTATTCAAGGCTCAACAGCGGATAGTGCCACCTCACCTGAATGGGAGCGCACACAAACGCACACCGGCAGTGCAGTGGTTAGCACGCTGCGCTACGAACCCGCCGGCCCGAGTTCGATCCCCGCTCGTGACCAACAACAGTGACGATTATCTAAACGGGTCCTGAGCCTCCCCGAGGTTGACTCAGCCTTAAATGAGTGCCTGATGCAATGTGTAAACATCAGCTTCGATGGAAACAAAGGCGGCCGGGCATGGTACTGACCACCCACGCCACCCCCCCTCACCCCGTGAGCTGTGCCGGCCTTCATAGGTGCTACTCGCTAACCGCACTTGCCCCAACAATTTGTGAAGGTTACATGGGGGATCTTTGCATTTGCGGAAGAGTGGTTGCAGTGTTTTGTGCAATGTTCTATGAACTTGATGATGAGAGTTGAATTCCCATCCGTAAATAACATCAGGGGTGAATGGTGTCTGAACCTGACCTAGGATCTCTCCTGGGGTCATCTCAACCTTAAATTAGCAGCTTGTACAATGTATAAACATCAGCATTGTGGAGACCAAAAGCAACCGTGCATGCTACTGGCCATATTACCCACTTGCATGCTATACAGGTAACCACTATCCTTATCATGCATATTTGGGGTAAACAGTTGTACCAAAAGGCATTGGTATTGAACGGCGTATGTTGTATGTAGATCATGGTGTGAGTGCTTGCAGTGTGTAAGTCTCTTGCTTGAACCTGTAAAATCACAGCTCCGCCACATCTCTTCACGACAATGGCTGTTCGCTTTAACATATCCTCGTAACATTCTCTTAACAGCAGCTGGTTGTGCGAGCTTTTCCGTTCTAGGCGGCGTTAGGAATGCTTCCGAGGAACCCTATAGCCCTCGGCTTTCACACCGCAGTGGTGCGGACATGAAGCCACTTGTTGAGCGAACGTTATTTACTGCTGCTCGCTCTCACATCCCGGCCTCTCGCAGGAGGCCTCATACACGTGAATAACGACTTCTGGCTTTAATCAGTTCCTCAGTTGGCTGCCCCCATGGTGACTTTAAAGTGAGGTTCAACATTGGCACATCCCACAGTCTCGGGCTGCTTGTACGATGCATGCCACGCCTTACGGGGCTTTTTTTTGTATCGCCGCGGCTTTCATTTCAGGTAAAGGCCAAATAAAATCCTGTTTAATGCTGTTCGTTGGAATGCTTTAACAAGGCAATGGACGTTCAAAACAACCGCTTGTCCCGATGTTATTGTGAAATGAATATAAACAGTAATATTAGTCTTAACTATTTGTATTAGTACTTTATGAAACTGATTTAAGTCACGTTCATTTTTTCAAATACACGGTCTGCACATAAGTTATGCAGACTATATGGCATGTTAGCCATTGCCGTTGGTAGGCACGGAGATAGCAGAGATGGAAATGCTTAGAACATGGGGCACCTTAATAGAAAATAATCACTCGTATCATTGTGGGGAATTAAATTAAACAAGATGACAATATGTCACCTTCCCTTATCTCTCACTCCACGTGAATAAATAAGCATTTATTTTACACATCACATCAGCCAAATCGCCTTCTGGGAGTGCATAATTTTAGCAGAATTTGTTCAACATAAGCGAACTCTGGACCGGCTTAACATTCAGTGCCTCAAAAAGAGTCAAGACATGCTTTAACCTGTCTGGTGAACTGCCAGATGTTTATAAGCCCTAATCGTAACGTATTACTGATGACAATGACACCCACACAGTATCACAAAGGTCCCACCTTGTTAACAATAGTACAAAAATAATAATTTAATCTATTACTTTATGAAGGCCCCCCCCATGTTGAACACTGTGATTCTAGATTTGAAGCTTTCGTGACTGCAAGGATTCATATTCTTAGGTTTTTTCGGTAAAGTCACGTAGGTAAAAAATTAAAATTAATAGAAGTAAAATAAAACTAAAATAAAAATCACGACGTTTCGGAGGCAACACAAGCTTCCGTCTTCAGGTGGAACCGTCACAGCACGCTTGCTGTACTTGATACAGCTTGTGTTGCCTCCAAAACGTCGTGATTTTTATTTTATTTTTATTTTACTTTCATTAATTTTAATGTTTTACCTACGTGACTTTACCGAAAAAACCTAAGAATTTGGTCACAGGAATTGTTTTACCAAACTTTACCACAATGGTCAGTTCGGGTTAGTGAACGCGGTGCCCAGGAGTCAGTCAGTTCAGATTATCACTCGTCACTGATGTTAGCTACGGACAGGAATCGAATTTGGTCGTCCGGGGTTCATACCGCAGTGCGCTAACATCTGCACCACCACTCCACGCTAAGATTACCCGAGGCCAAACCTCAACGATGCTTTTAGCCGAAACCCTGTCGCGCCCGATAGATGGACAAGCACATTAAACACACGGTAAATGAAAATTAGAAATTCCTGGCTGCTCTTGTGACATGCCCGAGCACTCTGCCACTTGGCTCTGCAACCCACGGGGTCTCCCCAGTGATGGTTCACTTTTGTAATCCAATTAGCGGAAAAGCTATCGTCCGCGCAGCGTCCAGCATTGTGCAATGGAGCGTGCGCGAAGGAGCGTATGCACTGGCTAATCGAAAACCGAAATAACAGAGTCATCACGCCACTTGTGACCTGGTTCATAACAATGCGTAGCTCAGTTCGGTGACATGGCCTAACAGTAGCGCGTTCAGAGGTTCGCGTTTCGCGTCCAGTGGGACGCCCTGGTTATTACTGCTGCGCGTGGTGACCGCAATAACACGACGCGCCGTCAAATTTCACAGTGGACGTTAAAGATCCCCTGATGCCATTTGCGTGGGAAGGCAATTGTGTGATGGCGTCGGAGCTCAAGTTTGCCAAATTTGAAAATGTTGCCCGCAAAGGACTCCAGTGGAATATACCGCACGCAGCAAACATCTATGTCCAATACAAGCTTTTCCCAGTCAGTGCACACTTTATCTTTGTACACTTGGCAGCGTCCAAAACGTGTGTGTGCATATGTTTGTGATGGGGAGCGGTTGGCACACTGCACTAGCGAACCCGGCGACGCGAGTTCGAAGCCCTCTCACGGCCAGCGCCAGTGACGGCTATCCGAACCGGTCCTGGGCCTCCCCGAGGTCGACTCAACCTTAAATGAGTACCTGTTGCAGTGTGTAAACTCAGCACCGTGGAAACAAAGGTGGCCAGGCGTGGTGATGGCCACCCATCCCCTCGTGCGCCGTGCTGGCATTCATAGTTGCTACTCGCTAACAGTGCTTGCCCCAACACTCTATTTAAAGCTACATGGGGGATCTTTGTCTTTGACGGGCAGTGGTGGCTTCGTGGACAGGGCACTGACTCTGCTACGAGCCCAGCCACAATGACGCGAGTGATACAAAGCAGCCATAGTTTTCTCCTGGGTCTATTGCGCCTTCAGTGACTACCTGGTGCATTGTGTCAACATTAGCACTGGGGAGACGAAGGCGGTCATGAAGTGATGGTGGCCCAGACCGCCGTCTTACGCTCCGTTACAGCCTTAATACGTGTTCACAAACAGCACTTGCCTCAACCGTCTGCAAGGCTAGATCGGCAGTGGGACCTTTGCTTTGTGTGTGCGCACGCATGTTTTTAAATCCTTTATATTAAGTTCGCTTGCTTGCTTGCTTGCGTGCTTGCTTGCGTGCTTGCTTGCTTACGACCGTGCAAATCTTTCGGTCGTTTTTTAACCCACTTCCCGTGATCCAATCGAGCTGACATTTTCCACACAGACTCGTTGTGCGAGACAATTAATGTTCGTGAAAAAAAATTCCCAAAATTTTACACTGTTTAGGGAAAACAAATTAAATATTTAATTACCAATTGCTTAATACTGGCAGACAATCATCTGACCCACAGATGGCAGCCATCTCAAGCCAGAGGACGAGAAGACTCTAGCCGCCACGCATATAAAGGATTTATAGTGAAAAACTTTGTTTTTACGGGTTTACTTGTTTTATTTTGAAAGAGCGTTATTATCGAGGGCCCTTCCTTCTTCTCCCATGCCCGTGTTGATCCCACAGAGGGTGACTTTCGTTTACCACGTTGACCTCCGCTACACAGACCGGCGCCTTAGCGTGGGATGGACGGGGGGGGAGGGCAGCAAAGATGAAGCAAGGGTCAGATGGGCATTGCCGCTGCGCTCGAAGACAATGATGGGATCAGCTCCAAATTCTTTGGGTCTTTCGGAAAAATCACGTTGATAGGTTCAAAGAAAATAACAAGCTCCACTTGTTGATCCTTGTGGTGGCTTGCATACATTTATATGCTGCTGCTGTTACGTAATAAGGCTTTGTCCGTGCCTGCTCGAGTGAAACGCGTTTCATTTGGCCTTTTTGGTTGCACCGAATGTTAGAAATTTACGGGGAAGAAACGTGAAAAAGCGCTAACTCACAAAAGGGACTTGGCTGTGCCGTGATGTCCACGTGTGTGTTGCGTTACGGGAATGTAGCGCAGTGCCTCTTGAGGAGCGTAACGAATCAATAAGTGAAACGCAACGTGTAAGACATTAATCATCTTTGCGGTGCCTTTAATTGGAACTGTCAAAACTGTGCAGCAAATAGCTCATCAAACATCCACATTTGGCTGCTGTACAACGTTGCTTACGGCCTGAACCAATTCACCCGACTTGCCAATCCCAAAAAAATAGTTCACAATTTGGACTCGCCCATTCAAGAACCGATTCTCATATTCGCATTGTGCTCAACGCAGCGCCTCGAGTCTCCACAGAGAATCGCTTGAACTCATGATGTATACAATGTACACACATTTATAAATATATTGATTCTCACACGAACCCGTCGATGCACGCATCATGAGTGTAAGAATCTATGTTAATCGAGGCATCTTCACATGCCTAAGAACGCGTGAACCCATGATGTACAACGCACGCAAATACAAAAAAATCATT